CTGGGTCCCGCGGTGGATCTTTCACGAACTGCATCCGTCCACCCCCGCGCACCGAAATACAGATGACAGCTCCCGGGTGCGGGGTGTTGCTGATGGGAACAGCTCACCCGGGTGCTGAGCGGAGAGTTTCTGGTGCTGGGCTCTAAGGGCACCGGCAGAAACGAGCCCGGTGGGGTGACCAAGGCAGAAACTTCAGCCCAACTCCTGCATTTAATCCCTCGGCAGCACAAGGACCGGCTAGTGGTGCCTTAGTGATGTTACAGCTGCTAGGCCGTGCCTCTTTCAGCAAAATTCATCTTAAACTGATGCCTGGCTCTTTCTCCCTTCTTTTCCAGATATAAAAAAAAAAAAAATGACTGTCAAAGCTGTAAAAATGCCGTGCACCGCTCCAAATGTGTATACTAAAGTGCCTGACGGAGGATGGGGTTGGACAGTTGCTTTTGCTTTCTTCTTTGTGGAAGCTCTAACGTACGGCATTATAAAATCGTTTGGCGTCTTCTTCAATGACCTGATGGAAAGCTTTGATGAAACCAACAGCAGGATATCCTGGATAATATCCATATGTGTGTTTGTGCAGACCTTCACAGGTAAGAGGAACACGTCTTCAGTGCGAGGGGCAGTCGTACTGCTGACTCAGCACACGAGGACCTGGTACTTGGGATTTCTTTGTCCCTAATGGCTCCATTATCAATAAAAAATACCAGCCATAAAGCCGAGAGGCTGCGTGCTCCTGAAATGCCAAGAAATGTCTGTCTCGGCCCGGCAGCCCCTTTGAGCCCCATCTTGTGTCCTCCTGCGTGGAACAGGGATGTGGTCCGTGTCGCTGATCCTGGCCCGGCCCTTTAGCTCTCATCAGCAAGGGGTGAAAACAAGAGTTTTGAAACCTAATTCTGTAGTGAAAAGGATTAGAAATAACTTGGCCCTCACTGAAATCCACTGCTGTCTGTGGATGTTGCTGCAGGCTTGTCCCAGGCTGCCATGTAACCATCTTAGTCTCTTCTGATGATTTTTTTTTTTTTTTAGCACATCCTAAATGCCATGAGCTTTGTAGTGCTCCAGGGATGGCTCCGGCGCAATGCTCTGCTGCGTGAGGCCAACTGGCAGGGGAGGTGGCATGTCACAGGGACCTGGGGGGGGTTATAAGAAGCGCCTCCGAAGGAGATGGCAGCTGGGCAAGCTGTTGACTTGGGTGTTGACCACAGCTCTCTTCCTCTCCCACCCATCCAGCTCCTCTGTCAACGGTCCTCAGCAATCGCTTTGGCCACCGCTTCGTGGTGATGGCCGGAGGGGTGCTGATCAGCACTGGCATGGTCACTGCCTCCTTCGCCCGCACTGTTGTGGACATGTATGTCACAATCGGCATCGTTTCTGGTGAGTCATCCTGTTCCCTTACCCGCTAAACGCTTTGCTCGCTCCTGCGGCTTCCCGCAAGCGCGGCTCTGGCCACGGGGGTTTTTACTCTCCACGATCCTGAGGGTGCTTGAGAAGCGCTGCTGCCCCTTCTGAGCTGAGCTCCCCGTCCTGGCAGAGGTGACGAGCTGGGCTGAAGGCTTGGCCTTCTGCCCCGTGTCACCCTGGGGACCACCCTGGGACTTGGTCCTGCAGACCGCTGCGCTGCTGCAGCTGTACTGATTGCTTCTGATTGCCTGGGATCGCTGGGGACGTGAAAGCTGTTCATGGGGTCAAATCCTCTGACCTCCTCCTCTATCTTTTTTTTTTTTTTTTTTTTTTTTCTCCTGATACCTTTCTCCCTCTCCAATCTGGCCTGGGTGTCCTGCTCACATCCGTGGCCAGGAGCTTGCCTTGCTTAGGGGAGCAATTCCTACAGGCTCAAACTCTTTAAGCAGATGAGGTCCTCAAAGTGGACCTCGCTGGCTGTTGGGGAACAGAAGGCATTATCTAGCAGGTTTGGGAGGTTGGGTCTCTTGTTTTGGTTTTTCCTTTTTTTTTTTTTTTTTTTTTTTTTCTTGTCCCCCCTCCAATCTAAAGAAAAATAACATTCTGGTTTCCCCAATGATTTTCTTCCAGGGTGACTTGCTGAGTTGGCCGAAATGATACTGTAATCTCGCCACCGGGAAAGCTGACTTAACGTGTTCTCGCATCGGTGTTTCCCCCTCCCTTACTTGTTGTTATGGCAATTTTTGGCATTTATTCACAGGCCTTGGATACTGCCTCTCTTTCCTCCCGACTGTCACCATTTTATCACAGTATTTTGACAAAAGACGTTCGCTGGTCACAGCAGTAGCATCTACAGGGGAATGTTTTGCTGTTTTCTCCTTTGCACCAGGTACAGTGCCCGAACGCTGCGAGTTCATACGTGCATGCCTAAAGCACAACGCTGCTCCAGTCCTTTTCCCAAGCAAATGGGAGCCAAAGGCCATCAATACCCGGGTGCTTGTGGACCCTGCCACGAGCTGCTAAAGCCCCCGGGTGGTTGCTCATGTGCCCGTGGCACTCGTGCCCTGCAGGCAGGGTTACAAGTAATGCTGGAGATTGGTCCAACGATGCCGAGCTCTCCCCAGCATCGCCTGCCAGAGCAGGACATGCCTCACTGATACGCAGCCCGCCGGGTTCCCTATATAGATCTAGCAGGCTAAAAATAAGACCGAGAAATTTCAGCTATTTAAAACGCACGCGGTGTACATAACTGCTCCTAAAGGTTAATGGGCTTGTGCTTAGCATGGGGTGCCGAACCGCTCCAGCCTTTTGGGGACCTGTCCCCAGGCAGCGTGTCCCCGTCGCTGCCTGTCCTCTGCAGTTCAGGTGGTCTTCTGCTGCGCGTGCTTGCTTTCAGGTAATACCCGTTGCAAAGCAGCTTTGATTGCAAGTGAAGGCTTGTAATTAAGCAGCGACATGCACCTTGGAGTAGAGCTAAGACACTTCCTCTAGTAGCTGGTTTCAGGGTGGGGTCAGCTGAGAAAGGAAACCCGAATGTTGAGTTTGCTGTCACTCACTAAAAATAACACCACCTTCGTCCTTGCGCATCCCTCACTCGCTGGGACCTCAAAAGTGGCTACCCGGAGCCACTAGCCAATGTTTAAATGCAACTTCTGGCTCCTGTCTGCTGCAGCTGATGGGAAGAAGGTGGGTGCCAGACCCCTGGGTGGGAGGGACCCCTGCTCAGCCTCTGCAAGGGCTGAGGTGCTTGGGACTCGCCAGTGAGGCAGCTTCAGTCACTTCCCTAGCTGTCAATTCAAATAGCGCCTTGGTGTAACTACGGGCTCTTTTAGTTATCCTTTCTTCTTCTGCCCTCTCCCCTCAGCAATTACTGCTCTGAAGGAGCAGATTGGCTGGAGATACAGCCTCCTCTCTGTCGGGGTGCTACAGCTAAGCATCGTCATCTGCGGATCGCTGCTGCGACCCATTGTCATCAAAGAGCAAGAAGTAGTGAAAGCGCAGCCTCCGGAAGAGCCCACGGAGACAAAGTACATGCTTGAAAACGAGCAAACACGCACCTCAATAGAGTCCATAGACTCAGGAGTAGAAATAACTACCTCACCCAGCAATGTGCCTGGAAACACCAAAGCAGAGCCGAAAAGTGAAGAACCAAAGGAACACGTACAGATACTTGTTGACAATAACAGCACCCCTCCAGAACCAAAAACCAAACTACTGGACTTTTCTGTGATGAGAGACTATAGCTTTATCTGTTATGCATTCTTTGGCCTGTTCGCTACCCTGGGCTTCTTTGCTCCCTCCCTCTACATCATTCCCCTGAGTCTCAGCCTTGGCATCAGCAAAGACCACTCTGCATACATACTGTCCGCCATGGCAATCGCAGAGGTCTTTGGAAGAATTTCAGCTGGCTGGGTTCTCAACAAAAAGCCTATCCGCAAGATCTACATCGAACTCATCTGCGTCGTTCTGCTGTCTGTAGCGTTGTTTGCCTTCCCTTTTGCCTCTGAGTTCTGGGGCTTGATGACATGTAGCATATTTTTTGGGTTCATGCTCGGAACGGTAGCGGGCACGCATATTCCCCTCCTGGCAGAAGACGACGTGGTTGGCATCGCAAAGATGTCTTCTGCGGCTGGAGTCTACGTCTTCATTCAAAGCTTAGCTGGGTTGGCCGGACCACCCCTTGCAGGTAACTCTAAAACTTTGGGGTGGTGGTTTGTTTGGTGGTTTTTTTTTTTTTTTTGTATGTTTGACAGCCGTTGGTGTTGATCTCTGTCTAGAAAGTGTTCTGGCAGCGCTAATCCTAGTAGTATCCTAAAAGCCCTGCAACTAGTATTAGGAGGCTCTCGGAGCCAGAAGACTGCTGCAATGCAGCTCTGCAGAGTCCCACCGATGAGGCAGTCTCTACTGAGGAACCTCAGAGAGAAGGAAAATACTGCAGTGCTACCCTGATCCTGTTAGAAACCTAAAACTGGCATCACTTCAGGCTCTAGCGAACGGTAGAAACAAATCGCTTTCACTGTGCACGTGTTCCCACCATACGCTGCAGAAAGGTGAAGTTTCTATCATAATAAATACATGCCTGATGCATCTTGGGCTGAGCGTCCCTGCAGTGCCCGAAGGGTTCTGACCTGCCTGAAGACAACGCTACGTACCCCTGCACACGTTTTTACTTTTTTTAAGTTAGCATCTGTTTGCCATTGAGTTATCTTTTGATTGCAAATAAAATGATGCCGTGGTACCTGGATTAAAAATCCTATAGGAGGGATGGATGGGCAAGGGAGAGTCGGCTGTGGCTAACTGCTGTAAATGTGTTTTTTTCGTAGGTGTCTTAGTGGATACAACACAGAACTACAGCTCAGCCTTTTACTCCTGTGCTGCTGGCATGGTCCTGGGTGCTGTGTTTCTGTCCCTGGTGAGACCATGCAAGGCTGGGCTGTGCCACCGCCAGCAGCAGTGCGCAGAGGAGAGCGCGGCGGCGGTGGTCGCACCAGATCTACCAGATGACTTTATTGAAATGGATATTGGAAAAGCAGAAACTTCAGGAAAAGGTGGTGATGGCACGGCATAAAAAAAAAAAACCCTGTTCCATCTCCATCTAATGTACTTGGTGTAAGACTGGGGACAACGTCGCTCTGCTCCACGTTTTAAGCATCCATTCTAAAGGGAATGTGAAATTTTAAATGTGAACAGTTGCTACCGACAACTCTCTCTCTTTTTTTTTTTTTTTTTATTATTAGAAAGAACTTTTTTAACCAACAATGGAAAGCTCCATAGGAGATACGGATAGCCACACAGTAACTTCTGTCTAGCATGAAGATGTGATGCACACTCCTGCTTTCCTGATTACAAGCATAGGTAAAGGTTTGACTGATCCCAGAACAGCAACAGCAGAAGCAGCTCAGCCTCTGACTGTCCTCACCCATCCCCTACCGCAAATTCCAGGCAGGCAAGACACCGATGATACGAACTGGAGATGAGCACTTCTTCGGGAAGAATATGGACTCGTGTTTTAGATTTGAGGAGGAGGCTAGGCTAGATAGCTGACTTAAACCATTGCTAATGTTCTTCTAATTAACTTGAACGTCACAAATGCTGGGAAATCGGAGGCTCCGTATATCTTTATGGCCAGTTATTACTGCACAGGTTTCATGAGATCATTTTTCTTCTCCTGAGTGCTATCTGTAGAACTGTTTTCTTTTGATAGCCAGATCTGATGTACTGTTTCTAATTTAACTAGTATTTATTAATTTATTCTGAGATTGTTAAAGGAGGTTAGCTTAAATAACAGGAGAGGAAAAATCATCTTTTGCATAACAAAAGCTGGTTTTACATCAATCTCTTCAATACCTATCTTGTATTGCTAGCTTGTGAAATTGTAGGGAATTTTTACTCTTACAGCATAGAGCGTAGCTGTTTTTAATAGGTAGGTCTTGGGTAACCCAGTTCTTATTTAAAAAGGAAAAAAAAAAAAAAAATTAAAAACTACACATCCAGCATCTCTTTCCATCAGGCCTCAGCTGGTGTCACCAGCCCACCCCGCAGGGAGGATTTGGCCCAGTATGTCTTTATGTACCCGAAACCTTCGCTTACAGGTGCACAAGGAAATCTTTGCCGCCTCACCAAACGAATGCGGAAACCCCTACGTGCCGCAGCCCCTCGCAGCATGCTCCCGCACCTGCCAAGCCCGTAGGCACGGGGCGGCTGGTCTGAGCCGTACCCCCTTCGCGGCTCCCCCCGCTCCCCCAAAGTCAGCAAGAGGCTTTTTTTGGTTTTTTTGCTGCTGACTTCAGTGAGAAGTGAACTGGAGCCTGTGCACATTGAAGGCGTGAAGGGAAATAAGAGAGAACGTACTAGCTGTTCATTTAGTCTTAATGGGAGAGATTCCTACTCACGGTGACACAAGCTTGCTTACCCCACCTATATGCATCTTAACGCCTCTAGGCAACTCAGGGGGACAAATAAACCAAGTCTGGTTTGGTTTGGAAAAGAACCGAACCAACATTTCTGTGTATTTAAGTGGAAGTGGCATCATGCATTAACTGCTACACTGACCTGTCTGTATTTTACCAGCCATAGAAACATGGGACAATCTGTAAAAAAAAAAAATACAAAAAAAAAAACCCCACAATAAACCCAAACAAACAAAAAAAACCCCACCACAAAAAAAACCCACGCAGCTCTTTTTGGGAAGGTGCTTGACTTGTTTTTTCTGTCTTAGATGTCCAAAAAAAAAAAGATAGATACAGGCACTCTTGCAACCAAGGGACCAGAGCAATTCATCCTCACTGCCTGAGACCTGCCGTCTTGTGTCCTTCCTCTGCCTCAGCACTTTAGCACGGCCAGCAGAACCTCGCTGCGTTGCCCCCAGGACTGGAAAACCCCTTACAGAGAACTAGAGTTTTGTGAATCAGTGAGGAAATGAACAAATAACCATGTTGCATTAAGATGTACTTTTTATTTATTGTTAATTTATGATACTTCAAGCATTTTTGGTAAATGTTCTGTAGACTATAATTGTAAGATTATTGAAGTCTTTGTGATACGAGACCTCACTACAGCACTTTGCTATTACAACTCTGCTTGGAAGTGGAATAAGGCCTCCAGGTTTTGCGTGTGTGTGGAAGCTCCCTGTTCTGCAGATTTGCGAGGTTCTACTGTAATTTAATTTTTTTTTTTTTTTTGAAACAACAGTTTCCAATACAGATCAAATAATACGTTTGTCACTGACCTCACCGTACGTTTCTGTTCCTGTCTGTGTCGCGGCACGAGCAGGGGAGCGAGTGAGTATGTGTGTGTGCGGGCGCAGAAGACCCAGAAGCAGGCTTTAACGCGTTCAAAGCAGGATTTACTGACTTGTTTGTAATGTACCTAGTGGACTCTGGAAATACTCTAAAACACTGAGTTTTGCAATAAACTTTTTCTTTTTTTTCTTCTTCTTTTTTTTTTTTTTTTTTTAAAATTAAATTTTCCTCCTCTCCCTCCTCCATCCCTAGGACAAGGCTGGGTCAGCCTTCGCCCCGCGGGGTGGTGGCAGGGTCCAAGCCACCGCGTCCCCTCCCAAAGGGCTCTTGGCAGCAGGGCTGTCACATGCCGCTTCCTCAGCCTGAAGTAGCGTGTTTACCCTGCAAATTGGGCAATCCTCCCTCCTTTTAAACGAGTTGCTTGGAAGCCGGTAGATTAGTGCTGACCTCAAGGGTACTCTTGTAAACCCTTACCCCGGGGAGGCCCGATGAGAAGGAGCCTTTTCTTCTGAGTGGTAACTGAATTGGTGGCACTTGGGAACATTATCCTCGTGTCTTCAAGAAGCGTGCAATCGTGTAATTATTTTATCATCTCCCTGAATTGCAGAATACTTTCTCCGTGCCAGGCTAGGCAGCTCATGTATCAGAAATCAAGCTACTAAATAGCAGGATGGTCGCACTAAAAGGCAATTTTCTCTCCCTCAAACCTTATTTCTTTTTACACCAGCTGAGATACACCCTTCCCCGCTTAGCCCTTAACTCCTAGCATCACCGAACCCTACAAGGAGTAACGCTGCCACGCTGCTTAATTCCAAATATCAATGCATGTGTTAGATTTGCAGATGTTGAAGGAGTCATCACGCCACTGATAATCTGTATTAAACGCAATTTGTTTTCATTCTGGTTGCAGAAGTCCTAGAACAGAGGGTATCACGCATGCGAGCGGAACAGACTTAACGCAAATACCAAAGTCCCTGGAAGCTAATCTGTCTCCAAATTTGACTCTGGCTCAATTACAGCAGTTGAACAAACATTATTTGCAACAGCTTCCTC